CCGCGGCACAGTAAGTCCGGCCCGCGACTCCCCCCCCCATGTACCCGCCACGGTCGCGCGGTTGTTCACCTCGTTTTATATCATAGTATGCGTTTGCGCAAGAACAAGTGCCAACATCACACGAGTACGAATTTTGAGTCAAACGTCGCGGCTATAATTTACGAATGAGTTGACGTAACGATATTAAATAAAAATCATCACACCTCATGTAATTACTCAAATAAATATGTGCTTTTCATTTCAGCCAATAAATTTGCATTTCATAGCGATAGCGTTTGATAGTTGTGTGATAGCCAACTTTGAGGAATAACAATTAGACTTTCAGCTAAGATTGAATCAATCACTGAGATTTAGTAGATTTTGCCAAGCAGAATTGTGAGTAATTAATTACTTTTTCAATTAGTTATCGAATTTAATTGACGATTAATATAAGCCTATTCAATCAAAAATATTTTAATTAACCACTGACTTCAAGAAATCTAATTAAAAATCATTCAATTAACGACTGATTTGAAGGAATTAAATTAAAAACTGTTTAATTAAAAGGAGCGAAAGTAATTAAAGATTATTCGATTAACAATTGAACATAGTCAATGTAATTAAGGGTTATTTAATTGATAATTGATATAAGCAAATTTAATCGAAAAGCGCAGTAAGACGATTGACCAATCGATGTCAATCGAAACTAACCGTAGTTATTTACATTACTCGTGGTAAGCAACCGAGCTGAATATATGCTTATATATATTGCTTATATCAATTGTCAATTAAATAACCCTTAATTACATTGACTATGTTCAATCGTTAATCAAATAATCTTCAATTACTTTCGCTCGTTTTAATCGTTAATTCAACAGTTTTTAATTGTATTCCATCAAATTAATTGTTGATTGAATGATTTTTAATTAGATTTCTTGAAGTTAATGGTTAATTAAAATATTCTCAATTAAATAGGCTTATATTAATTGTTAGTTAAATTCGTAATTAATTGAAAAAATAATTAATTACTCGCAATTCTGCTTACAAGGAAACACCCAAACTCTTTGTTTTTATACATTTTTGTGAGTATGTAGAGTAAATCAATACATGAGTAATATATATATTCCATTTGTGTCCTATCGCTATTTAAAGATATGATTTACATTCTCAAGGTAAAAAGATCGATTCCACATTTTCATGTATTACTCTTAAATTAAAAGAGATAGATAAAATTTTTTTAATAAAAGTTTAATGGTAAGTTAAGTGCTGTAAATTGACATAAGCATAATTTTAAAAAATACTTATAAAAAATTTTTTACAATAAAAAAAGTATTTTTTAATTTATGCTTATGTTAATTTACAGTACTTAACTTACCACTACTTTTATTCGAAAAATTTTTTTCTATTAATTTAAGAGTAATACACAAAAAAGTGAAATCGTCCTTTTTGCCTTGAGAGTGTAAATCATATCTTTAAATAACGATAGGACACAAGTAGAATATACCGTTACATGTATTAATTTACTCTATGTACTCACAAAAATATATTAAAATCAAAGAGTTCGGTATTTCCTTGTTAGATATAAAAGAATAAAAGAACTTAGAAAATAAAAGATACGAATATACTCGATACGGAAATATCAGTAATACAAGATCTGATCGTAGAATGTACGAATATATATATATATATATATATATATTTCTCTTTCAAACTATTAAATGTGCTAATCACCTTTTAAGCTTCGTGTATCGTCGATGTATCCGCGGAAAGCACAGTACGATAATCGAGCGCGCGAGATACCGTGGTAGCTGTACGATCGCTCTGACCAGCTTGCAATAAAGAAAGATTACGTGCGACAATGATCCGACGTGCTTATCTCCGCGGCGCGGATTGTTATGATCTCGAGTGAGTAGCGTACCGAGGCGTACTGACGCTTCCGCGGACGCGTGACCTCAAGCGCGCGCGACGTTTCGGCGCGTATTGTTTCGGCACGTTTTCCGTTACGGACAAAATATTCAACGGTCACACATCCTAGGCCGCGATCCGTTATTTACACGCTCCCAACGGCCGCGAGCGTCATTGCAGTTCAGCAGAGAAAACTGTTTTGCAACTGTTGTAAAATTCGTGAATCTGATTGGTACATGCTCTTGGATTCAACTAAAATTAAGAGCATACTCCAATCAGATTCACGAATTTTACAACAGTTGCAAAGCAGCTTTCTCCGCTGAACGCAGCCATTGTTAACATCCAATGAGCAACAAAGATAGAATGATGTGGGAGCGAGTAACGGATCGCGGCCCAATCAACATTATACATCACGATATTCTGTTGTTACGCATATTCCTATAGCACTAGCATTGTATTTTAATGTCGCACTGCGCGTGATTTATCAAGACCGAATAATTATACTTTTATTCTTTATCTTCGAAATATTTGTAACGTAATTTGTTATAAAATTAAACACGTTTCGGCGGTGTGTTATTACACGTTTTCTGTTACAGATAAAATATTCGACGATCACACACAGTAATATCGACATTATACATTATGTTATAATATTCTATTACTTAATATGTGCATTCCTACAGCTTTAGCTCTGTATTTTAATGTCGTATAGTTACTGCGCGTGATTTATCAAGACCGAATAATTATACTTCCATTCTCTCTTTATCTCCAAAATATTTGTAACGCAATTTGTTATACAATTAAATACAAATATTACAACTTATAAAAGTTATTAAAGACACATACATTATTTTATGTACAAATGAGGTATTAAAAATTATATACAATAAAATAATTAAATTTTACTACAACTACGAAAGCCTTATTCATTCTCGTTCTCTTTGATCGTGATTATTTAATTATCTACGTATCTCTAAACGTCTATAGTCGCGATTTAAATAATTAAGATGCAACAATTATTTTTGAATAATTTACGAGATATATTGAAGTTGTTGCTTGAAGAGATACGTAAAATATAATCGATAAGAAACCAGAAAATATGTACGTAACAAGATAAGGCTCGTCTAAAATGGATCTTTAACCATTTATAAGTTTGTGGTCGATATTTTAACTACCTCACGTAAGCTTCAAAATATCTATTGTTTACTGAATATTGAGTAGTCGATTTTTTCAAATAATAATAATAATAATAATAAATACCATAAAGTTATAATTATCTTAATTATCATAAGTTATAAATATCATAATAATAATAAACACTATAAAGTTTCTTATAT